AAAAAAAAAAAACTTCCTGTAGATAATAATTCGCCCGACCAAGGCACGTATAACGTTTGACATAAGTACAATGATTTTATTCGTCGTCTTTACCTAGAAAGACCTCTTAAAAGACCTACTGGTAAACAGTTGACTCTCAAATATCTGAGCAAATTAGCCATTGTCTTTTTTGGGGCTTTATTTACCACCCTAACCTTTTATTTTTTAATTGATCCGAATGGTCTCTACAATAGCGGGTTAAACGGTCTGCTCCAAGCCGTTTCTAAATTAATAGTTGGTCGCAGCAATATCGGTTGAGGCAGTTATTACTTCATTTATTATGGATTAGGATTTGTTACTAATTTACTTTTTATTTTGATTTTGCGGGCACTTTTCAAAGCAAAATTGGAAATAATCAGCACCTCAATTTTTTATGTTTTATCCCAGATTATTTGAACCCAAATATTTGGAGCCTTTAAACTGCGAGAATACGTTTTCAATCGCTTTAATCCCAGCAGTTGGCAAGGATTAAGTGCTAATAGTCAATTATCTTTTACCCTTCCTTATTACATAGTTATCGCCATTGTGGCAGCGATTATTCATACCTATGGATACAGCCTAATTTTTCGGGCCCAAGCAACCCCCGGCGGCCTGGAGATTTTTACTTCTCATTTTTCTTCCCAAAAAGGCAAAAAAAAAGTCTCGATTAGCACTTTGATGAAGATTTTTGGGCTGGGTATTATTTTTTTAGTTACTCTGGTTAATTTCGCCGTGATTGAGGACGACTCTAAAATGAGAAAAAGTCTACTTCAAAAAGAAATCGAAGAACAGAAGGAAAAATTTGAGGAAAATGGGCTAAAAATCACGGGTCAAGAAACAGACGCTATCCTGAAAAGTTGAGAAAAGGATATAAAAGAGGCCAAGCAATTAGAAAAAAACGAAAATCCAGACCTGAAAAAAATTTTCGCTCTCAGAGAAAAAAATCGCCCTCTTACCTCCCTTCTTAAAAATAAAACTGGCTTTCAAAAGTTAGAAAATTACCCCCAAGAAATCCGATATTATTTAGCCTGTCCCGACGAAAAAAAAGAAAAATTACAAGCCGAAAGGGACAAAATTGAGAGAAAAATAAATAGTGTGAGCGGTGAAAAGCTAGTCCGGAAATTACGGAGAAAAAATGATTTAGAAAACCGAATTAAAGAATTAGACAAAGAAAAAGAAAGAAGCGCAGTTCATAAATATTTAAGTTATATCACTAATAATGAGCGGCTATGAGCGACTATGGTCTACATTTTTCTTTCCTCATTTTTGATTAGCCAAATCTTCCCCCGAGACCAAATTATCCTCTTACGTCTCCATTCCCTAACCGAAGAAAATCGCAACAAAGGTTTGAAATTGTTGAAAAAATTTTCTCCGGTTTACTACACCGTTTATCATCGAAAAGGCCTCCAAGAGGAAGTTATTCATGTAATCAGTTGTCATTTAAGCAAATGAAATTATTATCTCCTTGCCCCTTATTTGAAACAAATCGGAAAACCTTACTCTAGCGAAGCAAATGCCAGCGAATAAACATCTTTTCTTTAAAATCTTATTATAGTTTTCAAAGGGGCAGCGTAGCTCAGTGGTTAGAGCAAACGACTCATATTCGTTAGGTCGGAGGTTCAAATCCTCTCGCTGCTACCATGTATACATAATTAAAATACTAATATAGAGACGAGCAGTTTAACCCAAGTTAGCAAGAAGTCCCCCATCCTCTTTTAGGTGGTGGGATGAATTGCTAAAATATAACATATACTTAAAAGTATAAACAAAGGATGAAATAACTCCATGAAATAAATGGAGATAAAGTTCTCACGAACACTTGCTAGTTGGCAAGAATGGCTCGGTTTGAGCCTTCGGGGAGACTAGGTGATAGCCTTGTCTAGGAACCGAGAAGCCCCCACTTCTATAAGTGGTGGGTAGTTCACAAATTAAGATAAAAAATTATACAATAAGTTACAAAAATAACAAAATAAATAATATGCCAACCAAAAAAATTACATTTACAAAAGTTAAAATTAACAACAATCAAAAAAGTTTTATCGAATTATCAGTCCAAAAATTCAATTTTCCAACAGAAAAAGGTGATAAGGAAATAGAAAAAATTTCTTTTGAGGATTCGCTTGGTTCCGGCTCAGCAGGTCTGAAAGATAAAGACCAACTGGAGGCAATTTTAAAAACCGGAGAAGCGCAAAATCTCGAATTAAGTTTTGATGAGGAAAAAGTAAAAATAATAGTAATTAAGCCACAGCCAGCAAACACAATGTTCGCCATGGGAAGCGGATCAGAGGATGAAAACCAGCCACCAAAAATTAGAGTTTATGAGGGAAATAAAACACTAAATATTGAATGAAATCCGGACGTGATTAAAATCGCGGCTAGTCAAAACAAAAAGACTGAACAATCAACATCCGACGACAGCCAAAATCAAAAGCAACAAGACCAAAATCAATCAGACGACCAAAATAAGAAAAAAAGCGGTGATACCGACAAACAGGCTCTCATTGATAAATACGTTCAAGAGATTAAAAATAAATTAAAAGCAGCA